AGCATTCTTTTGTTTTTTTCCTTGTAAAGTGATTTTTTGTATTTTGTCTATGTTATCGTCCAAATAAAACCTGCTAGTTTTGTATGTATTGTAAATTGTATATATCTTTCATGGAGGCAATCTGCTTATTGCTTATGGTTTACTAGGTAAATTTGTCTACTGAGAATTTACATTTAATACTCAGATAATACTGTAATTCAGATGACTTTGGGAACTCTTTTTAACTTTGGGCCTCTGTTCAAAGATCAAGCATAATGTAAAATTGCCCAAATCCAGCAGTTTCACTTTTTAAAAAACATGTTGAGAAAGAGAAAAAAATACACTGGACTAGAAAGAGCTCAACAAGCTCTTGGAGTTGATATGGGTTGGGTGAAGGTAATAAGGATTTGCATTATAGCAGAGGCAGTGGCAGTTAAAAAGAAGAGATGGGTAAGGAGAAAGGCATTATAAAGAAAGAATAGCAATGCTTGATAGCTCTGTGAAAGTGGGGATGGAAGTGATGGAGGATGACAGTAGTACAGGTGTTTAAAACAGGTTGAGTTTGAAATGACAGCAGCATATCTGGGGAACAGTGCCCACCAGATAGTTGCATGTGGACTGGAAATTAGGAGACAGAAAGCAGAACTACAGATTTAAGAGTCATATTGAGGCAGTGGTTGAAGCCATGGGGATACATGAAGTCTCTGAAAGAGAAGGAGACATGTAGCCTCTTTGGGGCTGTGTACATAGGAGAGATTGAGAGGGAATACAGAAGAACCAGAATCTCATGATTGTTTTGGATCATAAGTTTCTAATGGACAGAATCCATGTTGTTCATCATATAGGAATTTCCACTGAGTCAAGTAAATATGTCATCAGTGATTTTAAAACCCATGGTCTTTTTAAATTTTAGAAACCTCATTCACTTCTTTGTACAAATGACATAATTTTATAGACTTTTAAAGTATATTGTTATTTATTTACCTATTTATTGAATAATCAGCTGAAAGTTTGTCAGATTTTATGAAAAATTTGTCAAATATGATAAAATTAATTCTTGAACCTTGCTTTGGATGAATTTTTCAGAATCTTTTGAGATTTTCAAAGTCCTTTGCATGTCAGTTCAACTTCTCAAATAGATTCATAGTAATAGCCCTAAAAGAGTAGTATTAAGAACATGGGAGTGCTTTCCAGCCACTTCAGTGCAGTATTTCAGATGATACAATATTCTGAAATAGAAGCCAGATTGATATAATTGAATGACTTGTCTTAGAGCTGTAGGACCATAATTAAGATCAGCTTTGTCAAGTTTCTGAAAGCATTAGTATGCAGTTTGCTCGAAAGCATTTTTGTCACATTTGTGTCAGGGCATAAGTTATCATAAAGCTTCAAAACACATTTTAACAAAAGTCACATTAAATTGGGTTTATTCATTTAGAATCAGTACTTTATTCCTAAATTTGTAGGCTGTGACAAGATGAGTTATATCCTTAAAGTATATACCTCAAAAGTCTATCCCAACAATATCTTCATTTTTGTCATAAAAAATGAACAGGAGGTAAGAAGGCACACATTAGGAAGTATATCACTACACTCCACAAAATAACAAATGGTGCATATAAGATTATCTTGTTTCAATCTGGCAAGTTACCAAACTCTTACATCATCCTGTAATCGTCTGCTGCAGACTCTGACTTTATACTCTGAAATATCGTGCTTTTAGGTCCCCTTTCATTCTTGTAATTTGATTCTCATGGGTTACTATGGTACCACGTCTAGCTGAAAAGCGTCATAGATTCCACATGGGAAAAGCACATTAGTGCTTCTTAATAATGCGTTTTTCTAAATTACACCTTTGCATCATCTTATAATGTATTTGAGAGGAAATACTGCTTTATCCTTCAGATTTGAGTGCAAATCAAGTAAATAAGAACCTTCTATATATTATCAGAGAAATTAAGAACACACATTTATGCCAGTATTTAAGAGAAGCATTTTTAATTTGTACTTACTTTCTACTGGCTTCTGTTAAACCTTCAGGTTTTTGTATAAAATTATTTCATGAGCATTTTATATCCAGATGACTTGCTTAGCAGTTAACCTCTGCCCAATTCGTGGATGAGCTCTGCTCCACAGGGGATGGCCTAGTGCAGAGCTTGTTTTTTATAACAGCACTGCTTTCTGAAGCTTAACAGAGTGCAGGAAATTGCTTTCTGGGGTGTGGAAAGGAGATTCAGCCCAGATTTAATACATACCCCTTCAAGATAATGGAAGCAGAATGCAGGAAATAACCTCATAAGGTTAACTGAAGTATCAGTCCCCACAACAAAATTAAATCACATAATGAATTAAAAATGGTAGGTCACTTGGTAAAAGTTTTGGAGAAAGCAAGAGGAATTGGGTGAGAGTAAGCTGGAGGGGGAAAGAAGCACTGATCATCTGGAATCCCAACATTTTGAATGACAAGTGCTGAAGAGATACAGGCCAGTTCCTAAGTGCCGCACCTCACTTCTCTGTTTTCTTTGTCCCTTGAAAATGTTCTGGTTAGGATCCAACAAAGTTGATTATATCACATTAGCAAAACATTAATTTTTAGTTTCTCATATAAATAATTCACCTAAATAACATACCTTTTCAAAATCTAATATAAGCAAATATACTGAAGTATTCATTTCCTTCAGCAGAACTTCAAGAACTTAATCTCTTTCTAATTATATTTTTTAATTTTAGAATTTACATATCTATTCATCAATTGACCCTATTCGTTATATATTCTGTTCCTGAGAATGTTTTATAAACTGCCAAACACTATGTTGATTTTAGTGGGTTTAAATATTTCTCTTCCATTCAGGAAACTTTCATAGAATTAAAATGATCTGATAACCCAATACAAAAGCTCTTAAACTGAAAAATATGTGCAGTACATAATTGGTTTTTGTCATTAACTCATTACAGTACTCATTGTACTACATTTCACTTCTTAGAATAGTCTTCTCAGGGTGAGATTTTAGGAAGGTTTTAGGCCAGTGTTAAGCACACAGCAGATACTTAGTTTTGGTTAGTCCCTGCATGTATTTAACACAGACATGTATATATATTTGTAATATCTGGTGTCTGTTTATTTTTGGAGGATTCTTTTTTTTTTTAATTTATTTTTGGCTGCATTGGGTCTTCGTTGTTGCATGTGGGCTCTCTCTAGTTGCGGTGAGTGGGGGCTACTCTTTGTTGCAGTGCATGGGCTTCTTGCAGTGGCTTCTCTTGTTGCAGAGCATGGGCTCTAGGCACACGGGCTTCAGTAGTTGTGGCACATGGGCTCAGTAGTTGTGGCTCATAGGCTATAGAGCGCAGGCTCAGTAGTTGTGGCGCATGGGCTTAGTTGCTCCGCAGCATGTGGGATCTTCCTGGACCAGGGCTCGAACCCATGTCCCCTGCATTGGCAGGCAGATTCCTAACCGCTTCGCCACCAGGGAAGTCCTTTTTGGAGGATTCTAAAGTTGTCTTTTTTGCTTTATACTGGAAGGAAAAGAACAGAATAAATACAACTGCCCTTTCCTTGTGACAGTCGCTGAAGCCATGGACTCTGTGCTTATCTGCCCCACCATTCCTTAGTCACACTTTGTTCATTCATGCTTTAGTGTATTTTTTTCACATTTATTCATAATGCCTGCCTTCTGTCATCTTTTGCCCTTTCAGACTGCTTAAATAGTTGATCCCACAAAGCCTTCCCTAATTAAAAGCCCACATGCCTGTATCAGTGCTTTGCTTTCTATTTCCTTGTAAATTTTGTGTGGTTACATTTCATTGTGTTAATGTTAAGTATAATTTTGACATCTTCATGTCTCTGTGGTGTATGCCTGTTATTGCTAACTAGGTAAAAAGCTGCTTGAAGACCATGCAGGGTTTTTTTTTTAATCCCTTCCTATAACCTCCTCACTGCATAGTGCTCTACACCTAATAGACATTTAAAAGTTTATTTCTAAATTGTAAAGGTAGTTCTGTGTTGTCTGATTTAAGATGGTTGCTACTATTGATGTGTGAATGCTGAGTCCCACCTAGAGAATTCAAGAGGCCTCTTCAGCCCTCCAGGAACTTCTAGTTCACTATTCTGAATATTTCGTTTTTGGTCAGCTTGTAATAAACACTAGGAGTGTAATTCTTAAGCCAACAAAGTTTTCTTTTATTCGGTGCCCTTAAATTAACATCTGTGTACTGTAATATCTGTGGCAAGGGGGATTGAAGTGGAGTCAGCCCTACCCAAACCACATGGCTACACATGAGGAGGACTAGAATGACTGCAATATCCATGAAAATAGGGATGATCCCTTACATTAATTTTCTGTCTCAACTGGTGCCCAAAAGTACTGTGTATATACAATAGAACCTATACCACACTGTATCTTTTTCCTTATTTCCTCTCTAAGAAAGATAGACAATTCTTTAGGGAAAGTTAAAAAGTAGGAATTAGTTGATTGAAGTCAGATAAATAACAAATACTTAAAGAAGACCTTAATGGTAGCTAAAGAACAGAACAGGTACAGGTAGAGCTATAAGGAAGAAGTACTTGGTGAAAATAAGGCATTAGAGCTGAGTGCTAAATAAGCTTTAGTGAAGGAGATGCCCTGATACCTAGTTCTGTGCCCAGAACTTAGTAGGAGTGCCTTTGTTGTCGTGAGAATGAATGAATAGGCTGGTCTCAGGCATCTTCTTATATATCCCCATTATCTTGGTCCCCAATAGGAGATGCCCATTAGAAACATATTTTGTGTTTTAAGTTTCTGTCAGCAGGTCCACGCAGTAAGACTGGAAACAAGTGGCATTAGTCTTAAACTTCATATGTATTTCAGACTTGCTTCACTCTCTTTGCTTATTTTTAAAATATTCAAAGATGACATGATTAGATATTCATGAGTTTTATTATAAAATTCACTTGAAACTGGGACTGGGGAAAACTTGCATCATATTTGTACCACAGTATTTTAATGACTCGTTTCATGTTAATGAATGGTATTTCTTTTTTCCAGGGAATGGATTTGTAAACTCAAGAGCTTCTCCAAATTTGATTGGAACTACTGGTGCAAATAGTTTAGGCAAAGTTATGCCTACAAAGTCTCCCCCTCCTCCAGGTGGTGGCAGTCTTGGAATGAACAGTCGAAAACCAGATCTTCGAGTTGTCATCCCCCCTTCAAGCAAGGGCATGATGCCTCCACTGGTACGTTAAACCTTTCTTCAATTTCATTCTTTAAAACATGTATTTTATACATAGTGTATATTCTCCTTTGCAATTTACTGTACTTCCATAGACTCTAGACCTTTTCCTAATAAGTATTTCTATTTGAAATTAGCATTTGAAGAGACAAGGCTATTTTAAATACCGAGGAATCAGATTATGAAAAAACAGGAAATAAATCTACCTAATGGTTATTTAAAATTAAAGCTAAATATGGAGAAGTTATTATGTTAATTTTAATTTACCAAACTGGAATCTTTGCTTAAAGATCTCATCCTCAATTTGATAAATTAAACCTGACTTAAGTACTTCTTCTCTGTGCTCTGCATACTTTGAGTAATTTTTTCACACACTTTTCTGTAAGAGAAATACTAAATTATTTGTTAGAAAATTCTGCATAACAAAGAGAACTATTGTAGAATAGGAAAGAATGCATAAAAACTTGGATGAGTTGTTCTCATAATTTTTGTTTATTCCTTCTCAAATAACCTTCCCATTTAACTCTTATAAGAATACAGGTCTGCCCACCCCAGCCCTTAACAATGTTCCAGCCTCATTTGCTTTTGAATCCTGTGTTTATAAGAAGGGGAAAATATGTCTACCCGGCTTAGCTTTCTGTAGAAAATAGTTAGAATATATATGTAAGTTTTAAAACCATTCTGATTTTAGCAACTGTTTGACTACTAACAATCAATGTGATGTGTCAGGTGGTCTTCCTACTATGCAGCTGCTAAACTGGCCATTTGATTGTTTGCTAAGTGAAAGTAATGCTATCAGGCTTTAGATAATAATTCTACATTGTATAATGATTTATAGATTCCCAAACATCTTTATATGCATTGTATCATTTGATTCTCAAACAGTGATCTTGGCAGGTAAGATAAGGAAACCAAGGGAAGGTTAGTACTGGTCCAAGGTAGCACAAAAGAGAGCCAGAACCAAAACCCTTTAAGTCAAAAAACAAAGTGCTTTTTCATTCGGAGATACAGAAAACTGGAAACTTGCTCCCAGCCTTACACTGAAAAAATGTTGGACAAACAATTTCATAGTTTTCCTTGAACACATTGTAGTGCTGAGATTTCAGGGCAAACAACTGGCCTAGACTCTAGGGAGAGACAGATACTGCAGGGAGAGGACATTGGAGCACTGACTTTATCTGGGCAAGACACAGATAATAAGAATTAAGCTAGGGTGATTGGTGAATTGCTGGAGGCCAAGTGTTCACTGGCAGGACTCTGTAAAACCCCTGGGACTGCTATGTAGGGAGAGTCTTGAGCCCGCTTGCAGGCTTTTTCTCCATGAACCCCACTGGGTGCTCACAGAAAAAATTGGGAATATCCTGAAAAAGTCTCCTCTGTGGTGTACAATGGGAAGAGAGGGGAAGAGCAGCCACTGCACTAGGGGCAAAAAGTTTTGCCTGGGTCCTTCTCCCCTTTCACTCCTGTGGAACAGAAGTCTTAATCTGTGAGGAGATGAATGACATAAATGGTCATCCTTAGGCATTGGCGAATTCCCATTGTATCTGGGGAAATGGACAAGGAAAACTCTCAGCCCATGGTGGAGGAGCAGGAACAATGTCATGAACATGGCAGAATTTCTGAGAAGGCTGCAGCCTGAGGCACAGCACAAAAGGGAAGGCTTAAAACTGCGGATGAGCAGTCTTTGGGGAAAAAACAAGTAAACAAAAAACCTCTAGCCAACCAATCTTCCATTCCCACCAGAGGGATTTGAGGCCTGTGGTGGATACACTGAGGGTAACCATAGCAACAGTGAAGCTCAAACCCAGCCCAGTTCTTAATTAAATTAACTCAAACTCTGTACTAAAGGCCTAGCAGGAGGAAAGACCTGTTACAGGTCTTCAGGTCAGTAGGAATTACCCAAACTGAAATATAAAGAGAAGAATCAAAACAAAAAAAAAACAGAAAAAAGCCTCTAATATGTGTGGGGCTTTTTCAGATGATTTAACATGTTTATAATTAGAATTCCAAAAAGAGAAGAGAGAGAGAGAACATAGCAGAAGAAATGTGTTTGAAGAAATAATAACCAACACCAAACACACACACACTCAGACTGCTAAAACAGAAGACAAAGAGGAAAATCTTAAAGGCAACCAGGGAAAAGAGACAGATAAATAAATAGAGGAATGAAGATAAGAATTTACACCATACTTCTTTTCAGAAACTATGCAAGCTACAAAACAGTGGAGTAATCTAAAGTGCTGAAATTAAAACGAAAACCAAAAAACTTTCAACCTAGAATTCTGTACCCAGCAAAAATACCTTTCAAGAAATGAAAGAGAAATAAAAACATTCTCAAAAAAAAATTGTGGGAATTTATTGCCAGCAGACATACCCTACAAGAAATGTTAAAGGATTTTCTTTGGAAGAAGGAATATGCTACCAGCAAACTCTTGGGTCTATACAAAGAAATAAAGAACAATGGAAATGGAATAAATGAAGATAAAATAAAATTCATTTTGTCCTTCATTTGATAAACTTTAATTTTAGAACAGTTTTAAATTTATACAAAGATTGCAAAGGTGGTACAGAAAGTTCCCATATGCTGCACACCCAATTTTTCCTGTGATTAACATCTTACATTAGTATGGTACATTTGTTACAACTAATGAATCCATATTGATACATTATTATTAACTAAAGTCTACACTTTATTAGGATACCCTTAGTTGTTAACCCCGTGTCTTTTTCTGTTCTGGAATCCAAACCAGGAATACAACATTGCATTTAGTAGTCATGTCTCTTTAGGCTCTTCTTGGCTGTGATAGTTTCTCTAAGACTTTAATGACCTTGACAGTTCTCAGTATTGGTCAGATATGTTGTAGAATGTTCCTAAATTGTGGTTTTTCTGATGTTTTTCTCATGATTAGACTGGTGTTATGTGTTTGGGGGAGGAAGGCTGTCGAACTAAAGTGCCATTTTCATCACATTATATCAAGGGTACATACTATCAACATGACTGTTGATCACTTTGGTCATCTTGCTGGTGTAGTATTTCACTGGCTACTCTTTTCCCCCTTCCCATACTGTCCTCTGTAGAAGGAAGTTACTGTGCAAGGCCCACACCTAAGGAGTAGTGGAGGTTATTCTCCTACCTCCTTGAGGGCAGACTATCTACATACATTATTTGTAGTTCTTCTGCACAGGTGACTTATCTGTTCTCTCTCATTTATTTAATCATTTATTTATAGCGAATATTAATATGGACTCATGGACATTTATTTTATACTTTGGGTTATAATACTAAATTCTGTTAATATATGATTCTGTCAATACCAATATTAGTTTATTCTGTTGCTCAGACTGTTCCAGCTTTAGCTGTTGAGGACTGTTCAAATGGTTCCTGTGCCCCTTTTATGTACCCTCATCTTTGTGGGGTTTTTTTGGCAGGGAGGAAAGTGGGGGTTACTATTTTATTCTCTGGTTACTACAGAATGCTCCAGGCTCATCTTGTGTATTTCCTGCCCCAGTCCTGGAATCAGGCATTTCTCTGAGGAACCTTGGTTCCTTTTATTGGAGAATGATATTAGAAACCAGGATCTGGGTGTTTTTCCTCTTCTTACTTGCCCCAAAAGATAATTGGCTTTCTAAAGCAAAAATAGTGGCAATGACTTTTGTGTTTATAGCACATGTAAAAATAAAATGACGGCAGAGGGATTAGAAATATACTGTTGTAGGTCTTTACACATGATGAGGTGTATATTTGAAGGTGAACTCCAATTAACTGAAGATGTATATTGTAAACCCTAGTACAGCTATATGAAATAAAAAGAGGTATAAATAAGTCAATAGAGGAGATAAAATAGAAACATAAAATATGCTCCAGTAGCCCAAGAAATGGGAGAAAAAGAATAATAAAGAACAGATGGAACAAATGAAATATAGCTAGCAAGATTGTAGATTTTAATCCAACTATACAAGTAAATGTGGTCATAAACATCAGTTAAAAGACAAAATGTCAGATTGGTTAAAAAAGGAAGATCATACAGTACACTGTCTATAAGAATCCACTTTAAATATAAAGACATAGGTAAAAGGATGGAAAAAAATATACCATGCAAACATTAACCAAAAGAAAGCTAGTGTAGCCATATTAATTTCAGGCAATGTAGACTTCACAATAAGGAATATTATCAAGGATAAAGAAGGATATTACATAGTCCATATTCCAAGAAATAAGTATCTTTAATGTGTATGCACCTAACAGCACACCTTCAAAATACATAAAGCAAAAACTGATACGGCTAAAAGGTGGAAGAGAAAAATCCACAATTGTAGTTGGAACCTTCAACACTCTTCTCTCAGTAATTGATAGAACAAGTAGGCAGAAATATCAGTTAGGGGTTTAGGTGACCTGAGCAATATTAACCAACCTGATGTAAGAGACAGTTATAGAACACTTCACTTCACATAGCAGAACACACATTCTTCTTAAGGGCACTTGGTACATTCAGCAATTTAGACCATATCCTGTGCCATAAAACAAACCTTAGCAAATTTCAATCATACAAATTACAGTCTCTGAGCATAATAAAATCAGTAACAGGAAGACAACAGGAAAATCTCCACATATAGAAATTAAATAACATACTTTTAAATAACTCATGGGTGTAAGAGGAAATCTCAAGGGAAAATTTGAAATACATATAGCATATCAGAATTTTAGGGACCACCTAGGGTAGCGTTGAGAGGGGAAATTCATAGCATTAAAGATGAATGAAAATGAAACACAAACAGGGGTAGAGGGAAATTTATACCTGCAAATGCCTATATTTAAAAAAAGAAAAGAAAAAATCCCATATAAAGAGGCTAATCTTCTACCTTAAGAAATTAGGGAAAGAAGAGCAAACTTAACCCAAAAGGAACCAGAAGAAAAGAAAAAAATGAGGAGCAGAAATTAACGAAACTTAAAACAGACTGTAGAGAAAAGGAATCAAACCAAAGGCTGTTTTTTTTTTTAAACAT